CGTGGGTCTCTGCTCCCCCTTTTGGATGGGGAAGACGTCTGTAAATCTGCAAGTGGAGGTCATCTTGGGTACTTGAGATGGGAGTCCATCTTTTGAACTTGTGGTTTCAACCAGGGGCAGTTTTGTCCCACAGGAGACATTAGGCAATGTCTAGAGACATTTTTGGTTGTTACAACTTTTGGAGGCAGTGCTACTGTATCTAGTGAATGGAGGCCAAGAACGATGCTAAATATCCTACAGTGTACTCCACCCCACCACCACAATAAACAGTTTTCCATACCCAGAGGCTAACAGTGCCAAGGTTGAGAAACCTTGTCCTGGACCGAGAAATTGAATATGTTTATAAGTTCATGCATGTCCATGGCATGATTGGACCCAAGGGCCATCTCGTTTAGCCAACTCTCCCAACTCTGCTTATGGGTCTTTAGGCACCAGCCATATTCTAGAAGTCTCTGTTTTAACAGTTTTGACAAGCATTTACTGGACAGCCTCTTATGAAGCTAGACTTTCATAATCATTCTTTCATTTAAGGGGAATTGCAAAATCCCATTTTACTAATGAGGAACCTGAAACTCAGAGAAGTTAAGTCACTTGCCAGAGTTTCATAGTTGGAAATTGCAGAGTCATGGTTCCAGCATGCGTTTCACTGAGTCATGCTCAGATATCCTTCTTCTGGCTATCAGCACTTCATTTTCTTTTGAACAGTTTTGTCTTAAATAAGTTTTCTCTGCCTGGAGAGCCCAAGCTGCCTTTCTGCACCTCGGTGCTCAGAAGAGCCCTCTGGTTTACTCAAGAGGCAGAAATGCTTGCAGCTGCCATGCAGCAGCTTCTAGCCCTGTGTGTCTTTTTATTATTTGTACTTTTTGTATTTTGTATCTGCACAGTTTTGAACAGTTCCAGATCTCTTCTCCCAGCCCCAGTGTCTGATATTATGGAAAGAGTACTCTACTGATCTCCTAAATTCAGGAGAGAAGACTTTCCTGGGAGGGTGTATCTAGGCAAATCCCCACTCCAGGTCCCTAACACCCCAGCACCTTTTTCCAACAAGACGACTCCACTGTAGCTAAAGTGACATCAAAAGTCTGCCTGCCATGGAGATCCATTGTCGTTCCCAGACCCACTGAGAAAGTCCTTTGACTTTTTCCTGCCCACCACGTGCAAGTTATGCAGTCAAATACACAGGCACGTGATAAGTGCTCAGTTAACCTTTCAAGTCCATCTTGAAACTAAGGAAACAATGAGTGAATAACCCATACATAGAAATAACCTGAAAGCATTGCTATTCTTAGGGGACGGACATGTTAAAGGGTTTCATTTTGTTCACATCATCCATTTATTCAACAAATAATTATTAGCTTCTATCAAGCTCTAAACCCTGTCCTGGATGCTAGAGGGAAAAGATCAGCATAAGCGGGAAAAGGCGTTGTGCTCACAGAGCTCACAGGCCAGTGGCACTTCTGGATTTTGGTCAAGTCCTTTGTAATGCATGACTATGAAACATGATAAATGGCCTCAGAAAGAACCATGGGGTGTCTGAGAGTATTTTTCAGGACAACCTCATCAGGTCTGGCCAGGCTAGGCAGAGAAAAACTCCATTAAAAAGAACTTGAGGCCCTAGCCAGTGTGGCTCAGTTAGTTGAGCATCATCCCGTGCACTGAAAAGTTGCCAGTTTGATTTCTGGTCAGGACATATGCCCAGGTTGCAGGCTCAATCACAGATACAGGGTGTGCAGGAGGCAACTGATCCATGTTCCTCTCTCTCATTGATGCTTCTCTCTCTCTCCCTCTTCCTTCCTCTCTCTCTAAAAATCAATCTTAAATTAAAAAAAAAAAAAGCCCAGCTGGTGTGGCTCAAGTGGTTGAGCATTGACCTATGAACCAGGAGGTCATGGGTTTGATTCCAGGTCAGGGCACATGCCCGGGTTGTGGACTGTGTCCCCTGTAGGGGGACTGCAGGAGGCAGCCAATCAATGATTTTCTCTCATCATTGATGTTTCTATCTCCCTCTCAGATCCTCTCTGAAATCAATAAAAAAAATATTTTTTAAAAATAGCACTTGAGGGCTCAAGCTTAAAGGAAGATTCTTCATGTGAGTGTGCTCAGGAGCTGGAGCAATGGACAAGAATGGTACTCTGAATAGGAGTGTCAGTGACTCCCTTACTTTCCAGTTTGCCAGGAGCAGTGATCTTCAAACTTTTTCCTACTCACTCACCAAAAGAACGTTGAAAGGTTTGGTTCCCCCTTGCAAAGGATATCATTTCTAGTATTCTGTAAACAATGACATTTTTCAACAAGACTGTAAAACACTCATTAAAACGTAGTCAATAGATTCTTAAAAAGCATAGTAATTCCATAACCACTTTAATCCATGGAAAAAAATGAGCAAGTTCTTGTATAATAGTTACTAGTAGATAATTTACATATTTCTTTTTCTCCATGAACTCATAGTTTCATTTTACTCCTCCCACAGAATTTTAAGACCATGTAATATATTTTGATACTTTAAATTCTTTTATTGATCATATTTATCTGCTGTAGAAATATGTGTGAAAATTGACTTTTAAATTTTGTTTGTAATTCCTAGGGCTATATGGTTCTAAGTATTGAAAATATTTTTTTGATATGGAGATATTTTTATTATTACTAAGCTATGAATTTTAAAAATGGAGACATTAAAATTTTTGATAAATACTTATTAAATAGAAATAACAAAATTGTATTGAAAATGTATCTTTTAATGAGATGAATCCATGAGGCTTTTATGTTTCTGAGAATGATTACATGAAAGAAAGAAGACTGATTTTATTCCTTTGTTTGTTTGTTTTTATAGTCATTAAAGACTAAAAAAATATGTTCACAAAAACAAATACATAGAAATGGAAGCTTCTTTCCTAATTATCATTGTTACTCAATTGTTACTACAATTGAGTTATGTAACAAAATTACATGCTGATCTAGCATCAAAAAATATTTTAAACGTTTGAACTATCCAGGTGTTTGATTACCTGAAAGTTTTCCATATTAGTTATAATGCCTCATAATAAGATCCTCAATGGCTAAAAGGTATGTTCTTTTTGTTTTTCTTTTTCATGGGAAATGGAAGAATATGGAATAAAAAGGAGAAATCCAGGGACCTATTCAGTTAGACCAATATTGGAAAAGAGTTCATATGGAAGTTGATGTTCCAAAAACAAATTTCTTGGAAAAATATTTATATATTTTTTATATTTAATATATCTCTTGGAAAAATATTTATAAATCTTCAGAGGTATAAATTTAAAGACCACTGACTGTAATTAGATAATACTCCACTCAATCCCAGAGACTGATAATGTCTTTGGTTTCATTCCAACATGCAGACCTCCCAACATGGGGAGAGAAGCTA